TGTACATATATAAACATGAAATCCTACTTAAAAATAAAAATATTCATTTATTATTTAGGTTTATTTTTCAATATTTGAGTCTTGTATATTACTTGAAACCATAAGGAGAGTATGTGATTATAAAAAAAATCAAAAATAGATTTTATTTTATGGATGATACAAATTTTTTGGGATTTCAAAATAATGTACTAAAACATAAAAAGTAATAAGTTAAAATCTGGAACAAATAAATATCGTAATCATTTCTTATAAATACCATTTCCTAATGTAATTTTTGAAGATATTAAAGATCATAATGCAAAATAACAAAATTTATCAAAGTAACAGGCTTTATCTTTCTTAAGTTAAACTACATGCATTTATGAAAATTGTTATGAAGTTTCAAACAGTTTCATCCACTAGTTTTATTGTTGGAATGAAATATAGCAAGAGTTGCATTGGCTACTCAGATAGTTAGTAGCCAGTGGTCATCGGGTTCAGGACTATAAGGTGAAAAACTGGCCAAAATGTCCGAGTCAAATATAAAAAATAATACCCAGGTGCACAATCTCAGAATCCCCTTATGTGTGCAAAATTTCAGGTCTCCAGGTTCTTTCCTCTTGGAGCTATGGCAGTCACACACAGACAGACAGGCTCTTTTATTATTATTATAGATTATATGAATATTTTTCCCACTGCATTTTCCCCTTAGGCTTTTTTTCTAAATACAATATTTGCAATTTGTTAATGATCACTTAATATTAACTTGACTGTATTATGACAGAAGTATTGTATTTAGCCATTTCGTGGTTTGTAATTAGTTATATTGTGTTGTTTCTTATACAACTTAATTGGATAACACTGCAGCAACAGCTGTCTCTCAAACTACAAGCCACATGTGGCAAGTTGCCCTACCCACATTCTCATGATGTGTTCATCTAGTTTTCGTGTACATGACAAGATGCAAATGGGTTCTCATTTATATAATCACTAGCTCAGACCTCTCTTAAAGTGAGTTATATATAGAATTGGTTCTGGCAGCAGATAAGTGAAGACAAATCTTGGCTCTTTCCTAACAGAACAGAGAGCTTGATGGTTATGCTGGGCCATGAGAGAAAATTGATATTGATACTTACATGTTTAGTTATTACCTTAGCCCTAATGCATTGTCTTAAATCAAGATGTGTTTATAACTTTAATTTTCTGTTATTTGAAATAAATCAGAAAAAAAAAGCATCTAGAAAATAATATAAAACTATACATATCCTCTGATTTTTTGTATCTTTTTTTGGTGAAACAATATGGTGTTCTTGGCAAACTGCGGCACGCATTACATCTATTTCCTAGTCTGTATAAAGACCACATCCAAAATATTTAACACTACAATATATTGTTTCAAAACATTTATTTGCTATAGCTATATATTTTTTGCATTTGGAAACAAAAGTTTGAAGTTAAGCTTTTTATAAGCACTAATTCAAATTTCAATATTTTAGGTTTAATGAAGTTCGACTATCTTATGAAGGCACATCATTTTCTTAGTACAAAATACAGGAAAGATACATATGGGAAGTAGGACAAATAAAAGTAAAAACAATAATGTAAAGAGTTCCACTTATGATGCTTAGTCCTTCAACCTAAGAATTAAAATGTTTTTCTTTCCATAGCCCACACTTGTATTCAATGTATGATAGGCAATAAAATACACAAACTAGAAAATGCCATATTACAATTTTTTATAACTGTAAAAACTACAAATTGCTCTCCAGAAAATTGATTTGTGAGAGTGATTGTTCTTATCAAAACTTCCATTAAAATGTGGTAGTTTTATCAATGTCATTGTATTAACCTAATTTTAAAACTTGGGACAAGCTGGTAAGTGTCGAATGAAGAGTCTGTCATCTTAATAATATATAATTGAAAATAGTTGTTTTTGTTCAATTCATATCACTTTTTTTAAACTTGTATATCAATAACAGCAAGAAATTGGAATGTATTCAACATAATGAAAAAAAATATTATTCAAACCAGTTTTAATCATTGAAGAGTATTTAAAGTGACCAGACTTATTACCTATCAACCAAAGTTTACAATGACTCTCAATCAAGAAAATATGGTCAAATGATTGAAATTGTACATCATTGAGATAGTCACTATGTATGCTTTTCTGAACTTTGTGACACTAGTCATCTTTTTTCTGGATAGTTTTATGTCTTTAGTTGTCAACTGAAAGACCTCATTTCACCATTTGTCATGGTTTATAACAAAAACAAGTATTTATTTCCTCATAGCACCACCATAAAAAAAAATTCGATTGAATTTTAGTAAAATAAAAGAAAACATTTGGCTTTAATGAAATATTGACATTACCTAATTTTCTTTATTACAAAACATTTTACAAGACATCTTAAATTTTTTCTGTTGGCTTTTTTGAGAATTCTAAATTAAAATCAATGAGTTCAAAGAAAGAAATGGACAAAATTCCAAAATGATTCTGAAAAATATAGAATTGTTAGCATATAAGCTATTTTCTATTTTAAAAAAAATTAAGTTCAAGAGTTAAACCCACATTAATCAGTGCCTCTCTACTCTTGATTAACTCTCACTACGTGTTTGGTCGAATCAGCTGAGTTTGTGACCCCAAATTGACCTTTATAGTTTCCATATTATAACTTCTAATATCTTTCAGTTATCATTAAGAGTTATTTTTAGAAAAAATAATAATCATGAACTTTTAATGAAGTATTTTCACTAAAACTTTCTCCATGAATATATGGAGTCAAAGTGTTAACTGCTCCAAATGCAAAATGATGTTCAGATAAAAATTACTTTTCTCCATCTGAAAAATCTCAAATTTTATTTGTATAATCTCTAAAACCTCCTAAATAAATTTCAAGCATTTTCTTCGGTAACATTTTATATTTTGTTATTTTCTCTACCCCAACTCTAAGAGGTTGGTCAATAACTACAAAAAATATATAAATAAATCTAAATTACCCTTTTTTCTTTCTAGAATTACTTCAAATTGTAAAATTAAATTACATATGTTTATCCTAAATAACTGTAATTTAAACATTTATCTTGCTCAGTTGCACTGTATTACTAAAAGTACTCTGTCCCCACTGAATTAACATGCAATTCTATGATGCACTGTTGCAAAGGGTTAACACAAATAAGCAGGTGCCACAGTAGGCCAACTGAAGTAAAAATGTTGGAGAACTAGATCTTATGATGCACAAGCGAGAATATAAAATAAGAAGGTCTTATTTTTTCTATTTGCTAAGATATTGCTCCCATAATAAATCAAACACAGTGGTACTCCGCCCACCTCTTTCCACTTTTGGAAACACTCATTTGCATTTGGAAACAAAAGTTTGAAGTTAAGCTTTTTATAAGCACTAATTCAGATTTCAATATTTTAGGTTAATGAAGTGGACTATCTTATAAAGGCACATCATTTTCTTAGTACAAAATACAGGAAAGATACGTATGGGAAGTAGGACAAATAAAAGTAAAAACAATAATGTAAAAAGTTCCACTTATGATGCTTAATCCTTCAACCTAAGAATTAAAATGTTTTTCTTTCCAGAGCCCGCACTTGTATTCAACGTATGATAAGCAATAAAATACACAAACTAGAAAATGCCTTCTGCAATTTTTCATAACTGTAAAAACTACAAATTGCTCTCCTGAGATGGAGGAAGGTTATGTCTTTAGCCTGCTCAAAATTTCATATTTTTTTAGACTAAAATAGATCTTAGTTACTAAGACACTAAGATGCATTACAATGATACTATATATACTTTTTTTTCAAACAAAAATTGCAAATTACTGTGAATGGTTGGTTTACCTTTAGAACAGCAATGACAACTTCTCTTGCTTGTAGTTCACCCTCTAGGACACTCAAAAGTTTTAACAGATCTGTTTTACTTAACTCCATCTTGAACTGTTGCTGTAATGATATAAAAAAAAATCTTAAGCTCTCAAAATGATTCAGGTATGCTTACAATCTTAATTATTTATGCAATTCATTCAAAATAGTTAAGATCTATTTGATTTATTCATATAATAATAATAAACCCATGAATAAATGTGAAGTTTATAATTGATGGTTTTCCATTTCTTTGAAGGAGTTCAAATAAAAAAACTCAAGTACTAATTCTAGCACACACACTAATTAAAACTTTATGAAAATCTATAATAGAAAAATGTAAGATCTTCAATTTGTATAATATTAAAAGTTCAAGAAATTTAAATTATAAATGTGTAACTTTCCTTTTCCATAAGATTTTTGACAATTATCAAAATAACGAAAGTTTTATGACACCACATATTTTTCATAATCACATTTATTTCAGTTTAATGAAACAAAAGAAATAGCACGCTTAAAGCGTAGAGATGACAAATTATTTAAGCTTCTTTTGTTATTTTCGTAGGTCTTACGATATTGGTAAATTATGTCTTCACTGAGTAACACTTTACATCTATAGAATAATTAGAAAATAATAATTAAGCTATAATGTTCCCCTTTTCTTACACAACAAGTTCCAGATATTTCTGCATGTAGTTGAAAACATACTATAAAGAATGATCAAACAATAACAATTTAGTTGTACAGTTTTAAAATATAGAAATAAAGGGAAATTGTAAAAACTGATGTTTAAATCATAAAATTTTACCTCTTATCCACAAAAATTATTCAAACTAGCATTTGTGTATTGAAAAAACAGAAATTTCCCTAGCATTTATATGTTAAGTACCACCAAGTAAATGTCCATTTTCTATTTATGACATTCTTCTTTAAACAGTGTCACATACTGGAATATGTCACTAACTGATGAATCAAAAATACTATTAAATCAATTTCACAAAAATAGTCAACTATTCAAAATTAGGATTTCCAGTCATTATCATCCGATTATTCCAACTATCCAAGTAATTAAATTACTGCCACCAAATCTGCTTGATCAAAGCTAATAAGAGTACCTGCTACTGACACTAATTTTGAAGACATTAGACACAACAGACTGGCAGTACCTGCCCAGAACTTTTTGTTGTTATTAAACTGCTGGCTAGAGGGGTAGGCAACTGGCTGACAACACCCATTTCCAACATTTTTGTTATTTGTTGCTTGATTTGAAGAACATGACATTAGTCGATTAACGAGGCTATTGATTAATCAATTAGTAAGTACCACTAACTGCCCCCATTCTAGTCACCAATCAATACCAGCCAAAAGAGAGAGAAGATTCCAAATATAGTTATAACCAGAGAGAACAAGGTAATACGAGTCCAACAACTGCTGGCATCATACTGCCATGTCTTTCCCAACTTTCACACAATAAACAGTTTGAGTAGTGTATAAACAACTCTGAAACAGAGCTTATGGCAAGATGGTAAACAATGAAATATACAACAAACTACGGCAAGAACATCCCTGCACATTTCCTCTGAAACAGAAGTTCAGTAAGTTATACATATAAAAGCTAGTTTCCAAAGATGTTGCTTTTCAATTTTGAAAATACACTAAACCTTGCTATAACCATAGAATGTAAAAATCTGCAGAAACAAAATGACCACTGTATATAGTTGCAGAAGCAGAAATTGACATAAACCAAACACAAATACAATAGACTGACTTATGATAAATAATGCATTCAAACTAAACAAGCCTAAACATGAACTGAAAAAAATCTTTAGGAGGGTTATTTTTGCCTGTTGTGTGCACTCCTTCACTATTCAAACAATCACTAAGATCACCAGTCTAAGCTAAATTTAATTTTTCATGATTCTCATGGTTAAAAACAAGAGGGAATCCTCAACAACCACAGCTGGAATTAGATATCAAATTGGTCAAGAGATCGAGCCATGAGCTAAAAGTCTGTACTTGAAAAAAACTCAAGAGCCATTCTATGAGCTACTATGCTGCAGCTAAAAATTTGACTGAATTCAAATTAACAACACATTTATGTATCAAACTGGGTATTAATTTTGTCTAACAAGGTTACAGTTGGACTTCCAACATTTGCGTCTTAAGCCATGAAAATAATCAACTAATTGAAATTAGTGCTAGTGATTATTAGAGATGTGTTCAAATGTTCATGTTCTAAACATTTGAAGGTTCTACAGATGGCATTCAAGCAGTGTCAGATTGTTTTTTCCTCTGTTAACATAAACCACTTAAGTGTTCGAATAGTAATCACATATTAAGTGTTACTCAAATGAAAAATTTTACCTTTTTTAATTTGTATAATGCTCTTTATATGAACAAAACTTATTACATAAAATAAAACACACACCACCAAAACATCATACATAGCAGCTCCTTCCACGCATTGGAGCAGACTGTTATGGTTGCAGTACACGAGGCACAGTGTAATGCAGAAAATTAATTTGTGCAGCATTAAGCAAGAACAAATGAGACAAGTTTCCACCACATGAAAGCTTGAAAAGAATGAGCTGAGGGTTGTAGGGTACTCGAACATTCAACACTTCCCCTTCCCCAAAGCACATGTTTAATCAATCAACAATATTGTACAAACAAAATTTGACTGATAATAACAATCACTTTTGTAACACGTTACAGTTGAATGTCCAAATTTATTTTCAAATCAAACTGTTAGTGTTACTCTGTTTTGTTATTTATTATTAGGCATGTTTAATTAATCAACATTTTTATGTTAAAAAAGGACTATGATCATTATCCTGCTTGGATTGATTTGTTTGTTTTGAATTACACGTAAAGCTACACGAGGGCTATGTGTGCTAGCCATCTCTGATTTAGCAGTGAAAGACTAGATGGAAGGCAGCTAGTCATCACCACCCACCACCAACTCTTGGGCTACTCTTTTACCAATGAACAGTGGGATTGACCATCACATTACAACATCCCCATGGCTGAAAGGGCGAGCATCTCAGGTGTGACAGCGATTCAAATCCAAAACCCTTAGATTGCGAGTCAAGTACCTTTTCCACCTGGCCATGCCAGGCCTAACCTACTTGAAACAGTGACTGTTAAATAGATTTGTTTTGCTTAAATCACGTACAATCCTTTTAATTAGTCGCAATAAAGTGCTCTTGAAATGCAAGCAGTGATCGAAAAATTACATTCTCACATTCCTGAGGAATTTAACTTTGCTTGAGAAATTTCATCTTTTTAGTTGGCTTTCCCAATCAGGAATGCATGGTCCATCCATATTCCTTTATTTGTGACCAATGAAAGTGAACATATTGCAAGGATTTAATAAAAAAAACAACTAATGAGAAAATGCAACTTTACATGAGAGAATGTAAGCTTACTCAGTTTTCCCTCGAGTGAATGTAACTTCATTTAATTATTTCTGTCCCTGTGCAAGTTTACTGTACGTAGCAAGTTTACTGTACATATTACACACAACATCAAATGTGTACATGAATAATGTTCTTTTTTTAAATATAAAAACATGATTTTATATAATGTATTTATAAATTACAGGAGTACTAGACATCATTTTGCTAAGGATTCTTCACATTTCTTAATGGTTTATGTGTATCTTCCCTGTGGTAAGTGTTTTACTACTGTTAACAACTGCCATTCAACACATGTAATTGAAGCATTCACATTCAGTCTGTAACCCATCTGGAAACAATACATAGTACTGTTCACAGTGCAGCAGATTTAGGTCATGTTACTTTCTACTAGAACAAAGGTTCCCAAACTGTGGTCTGCAGAGATGTTATGTAATTATGGAAGAGTCTGTAGATTCTAATGCAAACCTGACACTTGAAACCTTAACAATAGAGCTATACAAGTAGTAAAAAAACATCTCTAGATTGAGCTTAAAAGTCTAAAACTTTATGTTATATGGCTTATGAGTTAAACTGGAAAATGTATTCTTTACTTAGGGGTTTATGTGCATTGTAAAATAATGACCCATCTGGTTTCACTACAAAGGAAGAAGAGTATTTGTTGGTGCTTTCTTGCAACAACTCTAAAAGGTCAGAGTTTAAATGAAATCCACAGTTAGTTTTGAATTCACAGAACTGGAGAGGTTTGGGTTATGCACGCCGTAAAGATGTGGTTTTTCTTTTGACAGTTAATAGCTTTCTCTAGTGGTTTTTTGCTTCATAAATATGTTCATCCTGGACTGTCCATTTGTGGACTAACGTGAGTAAATCAAGCAGAGATTGCTGCTTATCTCTAATTCTCCGTGGCATTGATACTCAACCTACTGCAGACCTGATGTACAATTCCAGATGCCACCAGGTTTTGATTGATAGACTCCGTCAGTGTGGTAGCTCTGCTTTTTAAAATAGGGTATTGCAGTCATCCATTGCACTGTCTCCAGTGGCACAGTCCTATGGACTCTCCAACACTTTTTTCCCCCTTTCTTCTAGTGGAGTATGGAAGTCCTTAACCAGTGCCTAGCCACTAAGGTGGTGGAGCATGGGGCCTGTCCTCCTGGGCGATTAATCATACCACTCAGTTGAGAGAAGGGTGGTGGCATTACGCAGGTGTTGCTGGCATATTGCACTTCATACCGCAGACCTGACATACCATTCCAGATTCTGCCGGGTTTTGATTGTAACAATATGCCATATTCCTGTCTATATATATATATGAGCAATTGTTTTTTCCTACCATGACATTTCTCCTTCCTACCATCCTATGTTCCCGGTGGGTTTGGTTTTGGTTGGAGATAGCCTGGTTATGATTAATATTGTGTGTAAATGGCATGATGCCCTTCCTACCAGTAGGTTCAGTGTTGGTTGGAGATGGTTCAGCTAAGTAAGTCCTCACATGTGTGCTGGATGGTATCCCTCCTACTACTGTGTACTGTGGACTGGATGGCCAATGCCCACTGCCACCAGGTTTTGGATTGGAGATGCACCCCAAGTTTGCAGCCCCTCTTCCTATAATCTGCAAGATGTCAGTTCTCAGCAGATCTGGTGTTGGTCTTAGCTGGATGCAGCATGTTTTGCCACTTGTGTACAGCCAAATATCCTCCTCCTACCATGGACTGGAAGTACCATACCCAATACCATCATGTTTTGGACCAGAGCTGTCGTCTCACCAGGGCTTTCTACCTTCCTACCATCTGCTGGATGTTGGTTCTAGTTGGAAATGCATGCAAGTGGAGACATATTTTGGTACAGAAGCTTGTCTTCCCTACCAATTCTGGTCTCTCTTTGGGTGCTTCCTAAAAGTAAAGCATTTTGTTATTGGCCCTGGGATTCTAGCTATTTTGTGAGTGGAGGTAAGATATCGTATTGGAAGCACACAACCAACACCTGGCAGCATTTGGAATTGTACATCAGGTCCATGATAGGAAGGACTACAATGTAATTGACATCGAGCATGGTGACAAGGTGGACAGTGCATATTTTCAAAAAAAAATATATATATATATACCTGGTCAAGCACCAATTGCCACAGAGTTGGATCCACAATACACTAGCAAAAGGCTCCTGAAAAAGCATGAAAATTGTGAAAATAAAGCAAATTTCACAATACCAAAACATGAAAATTTAAATAAACAGTGAAGAAAAACTAAGTCAATGTTATAACAAAAACCAGAACATCTGTAGAGGAATACTGCCAATCAAGAAGTGATTTACAAGTGCAAATGTGAAGATGGTGCTGGTTGTGATAGGAGCAGTGTCAGGCTCTTATTGGTGGAGAGCTGCTGCATGATAATTTGCCTGTGGATATGCAAAAGCAGGAGTTGGAAGGCTAGTGGCATGCATTGAAAATGTTTTCCGACAGATGGCAGTAATAATCAAGAAAAGATATTTTGTGAGAGGAAGCAAGATGTTGTATCAGAAGTGAGTTCTACACACTCTTGAAATTAAAATAACAATCATAATCACCCAGAAAATATTAAATGCAAATTTGTAATAAAAACATTTCACAATTGTACTTCCTAAACATGTACAACTGACAAAAATTCTGGGTAGGTGCTTTACATTTACAGTACATCAAAATTGAAATCAAGCAGTAGTAGTCCTTGTTTTCCTAGCTTCATTATATTGTGACAATCTTGTGTGAGTATCATACAAGAAAGACACATTAAGCCCATATTTTGATCAAAAATTATACATAAAATGCTTTTATCAATAAATAAAAAATAAAACATTATTAAATTTAAGCTTGGGTGAGGGGATCTCAAAAGTTCATAAACCTAGATATGTAGAATAACAAAAATCTAGTCACGTCTTTCTTGATGATGGACCAATTCCAGTTATCCATAGATGTATCTTTTTTTTGTTGTTTTTAAGAAAATGGTATAGGAAGGATCCATGAAACTACAACCATTAAGTCTCACTTCTGTTGTTAAGGTGTTGAGATCAAATGCTAAAAACCATTTAAAAATGATTGAAAAATTAGCATTTAAGAAATGTTTTTCAGCCCAGTTTTAGAAAAAAGATCTTACCTTTCCAAGGTTTTAATTTATGGTTTACACCTCGTTGGACAAAATTATCAGAAATGATTATGACAGATTCTAATTTTCAGGAAGTCTTTGATAAAATGCTTTTCAACATTTATAAAGTAGACAGAAATTGCTTGGTATTATAAATGCTTGGTGATAAATGGGTATTTTTCCAGTTAGAAGAATGAAAGTATTGAGGTCTCTTGAGGATGTCTTCTGGAAATCTTGTTCATTATTTATGTGTATGATTTGATAGCATCTTGAACTGTTATACCAAGGTTTGCATAGTTATGGATTTTAAGTATGAAAATTTGGAAATAACTTACTTATCTATGACAAACACACTGATATTGTTAAAAAAAAGAAAGAAGAGGGAATGACTTTGATTAACTACTGATAAAACCCTAAAGTCCAAAGCCGAGTGATCATATGTGGTTAAAAAAAAAAGATCAAATACACATTTTGGTTCTATCTACATATATTAAATTTTTAAATTTCAAAAATAAATAGCTTATTACAGCATTGTATGAAAATGATGAAAATTCATTTGGAGTATTATATCCAGTTTTGATTCTATTACTGCAGGAGCATAGTGGAAAGTGTGTATATAATGATAGACTACTACAATCATTTTTGAGTTAGGTAATATATGCTATGAAGAGACTTGAATATTTTGATTTTTTTTTCTCTGAAGCATGTTGCATTATGGGAGAGGGACATAATTCAGGTTTCCAAAATTGTTCAGGGTTTAATAGTCCTCTTGTAAGTGATATATTTAAGATGAGAGAAATGTTTAAAAATATAAGCTTATACATTAGGGTAACATGATTAAGCTCTTTATCAACTGGTTACAGTTTTGTTCTTAAACAGCACATTTTCTACATTATGAATTATGCATAAAACAGCACATTTCTCATCATATTCAATCTACTTTTTTGTTTTTTAATCCTATTGGAAGAACATATTTTAGTTTGTTTTTGTGATGAAGATTGATCTCAATGGGCATTCTACTGCCTCACTTTTTATTTTATTAAAAACTACTAGCCACAAACATCAATCTGATTTAAACAACATAACAAGTATACCAAATCTTTTAGAAATCATTAGACAATTCCTCCCAATCAGAACATATCGAATTATCACCAGTACAGCTGAGCAATTACTGGAAGTTACTAAACAATTAATTGTCAAGCTCATTAACCCAATCTGAGCCACTGGGCAGCTCTCCATGGTAAAGTGAGCATTCTTGAATATCAAACTTCAACAATTTTTTCACTCAAACATATCGAAAAATCAATATTGTGTAACTTTGCAAACTTTATTTAAAGTAATTTGCAAAGAAAAATAAAAAAATGTTTGAACTTTAATCCCTTTGCAGTTCCAGTGGGAGTTGCCTATAAACAAAAGCTTGTACACTTTTTTGTCCATCAAAAGGTATAGGTTTATATTTCCCAAACCTTTCCCTAGCAAACCTTACTTGTAGTCTCATCCACAAACTTGTTTCTTATGTGACTTTTACTTTACCCTAATGACCATTTAATAAAGCTGTGCTGAGAGGCTTTTTTGATACCACATTAAGTGGGTTGGTCAGAACTAATAAATCTTAGCCTCCAAAAATATAGAACCAATGCAAAATATTATAGAATAGAAAATATTCTGGTCTATGCGAGTTATTGGGTAAGCAGAAAAGTATCTAATGCAAAATTTACAAAACTTAAGAACAAGCCATAAACCTGGGACATTTTTAATAGTTTCTTATGACTATGTTTTTGTTTTTGATAAAGTTTGTGTTCTATTATGTATGTTTTGAAACTACAAATATTCTTATATAATAAGATATAAGGTAAGGCTATTTAGGGTTAGTGAGTATGGTAAGACCAGTTCTGCAATGGGAAACTATTCAGATGACAGAAAAGCTTTTTTTCTATATATTAGTAAATTTATTATTACTCAAACAACACATATAACAAGAATTCATCAGTTACTGAAAACTAACTACATTTATTAGCGAGACACTGAGCTTGACCAAAAAATATGAGTGCAAGTTGTTACTACCAGTCAACACTTTTACTGTTTGTTTGTTTGGAATTATGCACAAAGCAACACAATGGGCTATCTGTGCTCTGCCCACCACGGGTATTGAAACCCGGTTTCTAGCGTTGTAAGTCCGCAGACATACCGCTGTGCCATTGGGGGGGGCCACTTTTACTGCTCATCAATGCTTTATGCTATTTTGCAGCTGTATAATTACTTCAATAGGTAAAGGTAAGTAATAAGTTTAAATAACTGATGAAATTAGACAGGTTACACCTAATTGGATACATATAAAATGGAATTTTCTGATCAATATAAACAAAATCCAGTTTTAATTATTCATGTTTTTAATAATTACTTTCTTTGTATGTAATAGCTTGTATGAAAAAATGAGTATGTCTATAGTAGAACATAGACACAATTATAGTTTTATTGAAAAATATAACTAAATGATACACTTACATAATTTACACAATAAAAAAGAAACTAATATGAAAGAAAGTTAATATTTTTTTTACACGGTGTTTCAAAACAAAACTTCTAAAAATTCACAACTTAAAATATCATACAAAGACTAAACCAAACTATATAATTTTTTCAAGCACAAACTACTTATTATGTAAAAAGTGTGTAACCAAATTAAATGCAATTATGTTAAGTACCTTAAGGGTGAGGACAATACAAACAGAGACAACAGAGTTCCCTTGCCAGTCCAGCAACAATTGGAAGCACTAACTCCAATTAATTATTTTGTGTGATACTAATCAATTAATCAAGCTCAGTTATAATCACCAACCCAATTTTCCGTTAATTTTACTTTTCCATCCAATTACACAAGAATGTAATTTGCTAATTAAAACTTTTGTAAGATTTTTTATCAAGTTTAAGAAATAAGTATAAATTGTGATAAACTTTAAATTGTTATTTGTGGAGAGGCAGGCAACATGCACTAATAAGTGCATTCAAACTCACTTATTATTACTGTGAATTTTTAACCATCAAAGTATACAACATTTACCAAGCAACTCAAAAAAAATCTTAAAAATGTGTTAACTTTGTAATATACAAAAAATCCTTCCAAAATTATCTTAGGTACAAAATAACCATAATATGCCAGCTTGGAAGTTACTTTTATAAATGATTTTTGATGACAGATTCTAGAACCTTCCTAACAAATGCCTGTAATTCATCAGAACCAAATATTCTCTCAATCCCTTCTTCCTGAAAACAGGAATCACATTAAAAATTTTCCAATCATCACAATTTTCCCATGTTTAACCACTTTTAAAAGCTAACACAGTATACACTACCTTCTTGCTCTGCTTCTTTAGTTATAAATCTTTTCAAATCCAAAAGCTTTATTTTCAAGTTGTTTCCCAAGCTTTTCCTGAACTCTTCTCACTTTAATAGTAACAGAATTTAACTTAAGGAACACATTTCCCCACCTCTACAACTAATAGAAAGGTAATACTCTAAAGAATAAGTCTGCTTCTGCGCTTCCAAATATTGTATTAGTGTCCCCTAAAAAATATAAAGAGCTCCCATTCAAATGTCATTATTCCACTCAAATACACTTCTTTCAAGCAATTGATATCCAAATCTATAATAATTTGAAAAATATGAATTACATCTCTTTCTTCATACATCAGTTCTTTTTCATCTCAATATCATTATAACATCTTAACAATATCAAATCTTTCTTATAACAAGGATATCAGAACATGCTACTGTTACTGTCATGGCATTTTACTATAATATTATACAACTTCACAAAGTTAAATTATTTTTTTATTACCATTGAATTAAAACTTTTGGTAAACAGATTCCAGACTACCATTATATTTTAAGACCTATACCACAGGTTTAATCTAATATTTTATGCCTTTTCTCAGTAAAAGTAAAATAGAATCATACTTAAAAGTTAAAATACTTTAGTTCACCATAACACTTACACAATATAAATGATTTTTTCAAATATATTAGTTTCAGAATCAAGATGAACACTAGTAACCTAACAATAACAACGATAAATCTAATAAATTAATTTTATATAACAAAACTACTGGTAGTGGTATTAATACTAGTTAGAACTAGAAAGTATTACTGTAGTAGTAGTACTAGTAGTGGTATGCAGCGGGTTGCCAAACTAAAGTGAAGAACAAATATTGTTGCATTCTTCAACTTTCTTCACTTTGAATGGACTTCAACAGTTTAAGTTTAATAGTTTAAATAAAAAAGAAACCTTCTGCTCTTAGTAATATAAATATTTTTTTTAGATATATTTATTTCATTCGATAAGATATTCACACTTAGTATGATTTAGAAACACCGGTACATTAACGAATTATCATAAACTGTACAATTTGGGCTACGCCTAAAGCTTGATCATAAGCACCGTCAACAGGCCTAACGCCAGTTCGTAAGCCTAGTCAGAAATCTAACTTGTACTACCTTTCAGTTTCTTGATTGTCACCGTGGACAACAAAAACCGCGTATACATCGACAATAATTTAAAATTCTTAAAGTTAAATAGGCAGGTTTGGAAATAGCTTTTATGTCCTAAAGTTTATACATAAATCAAATTTAACTTTTATATTTATATTAATGGACAACAAAAAGCTCTTATACCTGTTCAAAACTTGGAAAGTTTCAATTTGCCCTTGTATAAACAATTCATCGGACACCCCCGTATTCAGGACTCGTACTTTACTTTCTCACGAAACCAAGTAGTCTTATACTGCTTGTAGCCTGTCACTAGTGTAAGCTGTATTACTCACCTCAAGCACCACCAAAATCTGTGAAATAATGAACGACTAAAACAACCAATATGTAAAGTATGTATCGTGAATGTACTCTAACAATAAATACACACACACACATATTAATATATTATATTTAAAAACAAACAATAATAACTGATAATCCATGTAACATTAGCAAACGTATACACTATTACCATCTCATTTAATTAGTAAAAGTGTTGACTATTAATGTTTTCTTCCACACTGAATACAGCAAGATAATTTCAAAACTTTTCGTGCTCCTTTCCTTAAGATAGGCTTAATTTTGTATATATTGAATTGTGTATGTTTGCATATGACTGATAATAACATGAAAGTACAAAATTAAATTAACATGCATCGTTTTTTGTTTTGTTTTGTTTTGATACAGCGAAGTATTTTAATACAAGTATTATCTCAACAGTTTTTGTTTGTCAAACGAATAGTTTTAATAAAAGCATTGTGTCTGTTCACATAATACTTGTATTAAAGTTATTCTTTGCACCAAAAGAAAACGTTGCATGGTAATTTAATTTTATCATTTTTGCACAAGTTCGCTACATAAATGTTCAACAAGAAGGTAATTATTATTGTAAACTATATTTTTAATGTTGTGATTTATTTTTTTGTCCGGAGAGCACATAGCTTTAAGATCGAGTAAATGTTGTAAGTTCGTGGAAGTAGGCGCACGAAAATCACTTTAATATAATAGACACAGCTACAGATGAATTTATGTTAGAGAAAAAGGAAACTCTCTTCATTCGGAATATAAAACCAAAACTGAACAATCAGCTTACAGCACCACTGAATCTCAAACTATTGTTACGTATCTGCTAGTTTTTTTAATTTCCGGTAGAAATTCTTTCCGAGGAACTTCAGCGATACAAGTCCTTTCTTAAACAAAAATAGTTTATTCTTTCTCGATACAACTTTGTAATACACAGAATTTCCACAGTCAATACGTTTGCAATCTCGATAACAAAACACAACTTTATATTATCGTCACTACCGTTCGCTTGACTCAATTATCTATCTATGCCTCTGCAATTGCGCTGGTTTTTCTCGCCAGACTTATATAATAAAAAAAGAGAGCACCTCGAACAAACTCGGGCCTCCCCGATAATTCATTATCTTTCCAGAAACTCCAGCGCGCATGTTCCCACTCACGGGACTTCCGCTGTCGTAACACTATGATAAACTAATCATGCCCGAGATGAGAAAAGAATGCAAACTTTAAAACCTTCAACAACAAAATTTGCTAACTTTGCGAAGAATGTACATTATTTGTTTGTATTTAAGTACATAGCTACACAATGTTGTGCCCGAAGTTTAGCGTTGTAAGCCTTCAGACTTGTCGCTGTTCCACTGGAGTGCAAGAAGTATATAGGAATTATTGTGTACTAAAAGTTCGTATCGAGAAAGAATAAACTGGTTTAATCAAGAAATGACTTGTATCGCTGAAGTTCCTCAGAAATAATTTCTACCGGAAATTATCAAACAAGCAGATACGTAACAAATTGGTAATAGTGAGTGGGACGGAAAAAAAAATGGAAACCAGAAGTGGCAAATCAAACTACAGCTTAGCAGATTTGATGGCAGCAATACAAGAACAGCAAAAGAAACAAGAAGAGAAACAACAATAGTGGCAAGAAAACTTGCAACCGTGGTAGCTCGAACAGCAAAATAAACAAGAGAGATTACAGCAGTTGTTGGAGGAAAAAGAAAAGAAACAAGAAGAGAGGCAACAGCAGTGACAAAAAAAACAGTACTGGTGGCAACTGTAACATGAAAAGAAACAGGAAGAAAGTCTCCAACAGTTGAGAAAAAGCCAGCATACACAAATGGAAAAGAATAGTAAATTTCAAAGTGAATTAAATACATTAAAGGACGATTTACTGTCTTTTACACAGAGAGGATATATTAACCATGGTCCAAATCAGCCTCAGACAACAGGAAGCCCCTTTCAAATCCTGCAGCTAAGCCCTCATACAGACATCTTCAGTCCTGCCAGAAGTCACATTCCAGATATGAGTTTCAAGAATAGGGGTGATCTGGTACAAAGGAAGCAACCAGAATTCGATGAGAAGGCACCATGGGAAGCATATAGAACACAATTTGAGCTCCTGGCAAAAATGAATGGATGGATGGAGGACCAAAAAGCAGTGTACCTGGCAACGAGCCTGAAGGAAATACTTGGACAGTTGTCAGCAGACGACAGACACAAATATAGATTACTGGTAGCTGCTCTAGAAATCAGGTATGGAACTCAAAATCAGTCTGAAGTCTACAGGGCTAGGTTTAGGACGAGAGTCTGTGCTAAAGGAGAGAGCCTGCACGAGCTGGCACAGGATTTGAAAAGTACGGCACACAAAGCCTACCCAACTGTACCACCCGATGTCCTCAAGCTGTTGCTGAGGGATCAGTT